TGTGGAGAGGAACTTCACGGCCACTCGGTAGTCAGCTGGACCCTTCTCACCCCCGTTGGCTGAGTGGCCGTGGCTGGGGTACCACCTTCTCCCCTTTGATGGAGGCAGCCCTAGCTAGATGCCGCCCTAGCTCCCACCACGGCCGCCTCCACTGAGCCTTTGAGCCGTCAACAGTCCACATGTCAAACTTTTCTATTGCCGACGGCCTCAGTGAAGGCGTACAAACCGAGTGGCGCCTGTTTAGCGGTTCGCGCTCTGTTGGATTCGGGTTCACAACGCGGTGTGGCTGCCACTTGGTTAGAGGGAAGACTTTGGCTCCCCTGGCGCGTTTTTTTTTATAGAATAGGGGGCAAACGAGCATGCGGCTCACCTGATGGTAAGTGACTAACGCCGCCCATGAACAACCGCAACACCAGGGGAATTGCAGATGCGTTGCCGGACTTTTAGAAAGGTATAAGCTCTTTTCGTGAAGGTTCCTACGTCGTATCATTTCTTAAAATTCGCTGGTGGTATTTGATTCCACAAAAAAGTTGTGCGAGGGAGAAAACTTCTTCTAAATCGCACAGTGGTGGACCGCCAATCATCCAGATGGTATGGATGGTAACGCGTTTTGTCGCGACGTGCCGATGGTGAAATTGAGCGGCTGGAATTAGTCCGAACAATTCCTCAGAGCACTCCCCGTGATAGATGCAATAAAATACGCAAAGAGATGCAACATATCTACGCAGTGCCAGTGTATCGAGCCGATCGGAAAGAACTCGGTCGTCGACGATTCGAATCGCTCTGCGCTGGATGCGGTCAAGTGGAAGGAGCTGGCACTGGGGTGCCTCGGCCCAGAGATGAGAACAGTATTCCATGTGGGGCCGAACTTGCGCTTTGTAAAGTTGCAAGCGATGTGCCGGCATGAAATACTGTCTCGCTCTGCTGAGCACGCCAAGCTTTTTAGAGGCCAATTTGGCCTTCCCTTCCAAGTGACCACGAAACTGCACGCTATTCGATATGTCGACGCCAAGGATTCCGATACTGGCTGAGGCAGCAAGGGGAGTGCCTTAAAACTGAGGAGATACGACAAAGGGGTTCTTTTTAGCGGTAAACGCGCAAACTTGTGTCTTCTGGGGATTGAACTGGACTAGATTTAGTCGGCCCCAATCCGAGACTTTGTTAAGCAAAGACTCGACTTTAGACAGCGTTGCGTTGAATCACGCTGTCAAAGAGTATTAGATTTGGTTTTGGTCGAGTACTTAATTAATAATGCTTTAAATTAAAAATAAAAATGCTTTGGGTTTTCCGCGAAATGTTTCATAGTTGTAGCGGTTGTGAGTAAAAAGGTGAATTTAATATACTCCTTGAATACGAGTGCATATGTTTTGTAAAGATATTTGATCATTATGTTTGCTTTGTTGAAAAGAAAATTGAAATCGAGTAACACTATTTGTGCCGAAGGAAATGAAAATCAATTCTCAATTCTAGTTTTGAGTATTGATACTTTTGAAACTTGGTTGAAATATAAGCATAGGACTACATGTCTAAAAGGCTAGCTAGTTGGGAGATTATCAGATTAAAATCAGCTACTGCACGATTGCGGGCGTGATATTTTAATAATGTACTAAAGAATTTTAACTTGTCATATGAAACGCTGAACTTTGAGACTCGAGAAGAGGCCGCTTTCGTTCCTGTGTTTGTAAATTTGTGCTACATGAACCCAGAACATTGAATATTGAACTTTGAGTGACGGTTTGTTACTTGTGTCGTGTGTCACTTGTTTTAATTTCGATGAACGTTGAGTTGGTTAACTTTGAAGTTAATTAAATGTACAATAAAGCTGATAAACTGAAATAATTTATTTTATTTATTTATTTATTTTATTAGGCTCTCACAACAATGAGTACACTGTTACATACATATGGAATGGCATCACAATTATTAAAACTAAATGTCCCATTACTTATAGGAGGGCACCACATGCATAAAAAAGAGACTTTACGTTGATTGTACAACAGTACATAGGTACAATTTAACTCCAATAAAATTTTAATTTAAATTAATAATGAAGAAACTTCCATTACAACTTAGCCTTAATCGCCGATAACTACTTTTTTGATGACAGCCATCGAGGTTGAGAATAGATCTATTCTGCTTTGGTATTCTTTATATAATGCAAACATTCTTGTTAAGGAACAATGTGATCTTAAATTAGTTCGACCTTGAGGTGCAACAAATAATTTGCTATTACAGGATCTAGGCAACCGATGCGGTACATTAAAATTTATCTTACTAAGAAGATCGGGACAGTCCAAAAATCCAGTCACCAATTTCTTTAAGAACAATAAATCAATAATTTTCCTTCTCGTTTCCAATGATGGGATCTTAAAATGAGACAGTCTTTCTTCATATGACTTGAGCGTCCTGGTCATATTACAGCTACGAGTCAAGTGCCACAGAAACCTTTTTTGTACTTTTTCAATGCGGTCTATATGTATTCTGTAACTGGGTGACCAAACTACACTGCAATACTCCAAGTGACTCCTTACTAATGAGTTGTACAATATTATTTTTGTGGCTGGTTTTTTAAAATTCCCACTCTCCCTTAGCACAAACCCAAGCATCTTTGATGCTTTTAGTACACAGTCATTTATATGTAAATCAAATTTAAGTTTTGGATCCATCTGAATGCCTAGGTCTTTAATTACATGAACTTCTTCAAGCAGTTCATTATATATACTATATCTAGAATTGACGATCCCTCTGTTTCTGGTGAATCTGATATGCTTGCATTTTTTTATATTTAAAAACATTTTGTTTCGGTCACACCAATCTGCAAGCCTATCCAGATCACTTTGAAACAACAAGATGTCCTCCTGATTCCTGATCATTTTAATAGCTTTAAGGTCATCAGCAAATAAGTGTGCTTCAGAGTTTTGGAAGCACTGTTCAATATCATTCATAAATAATGTGAAGAGATAGGGCCCCAAATGGGATCCTTGCGGGATTCCAGACGATGCAGCATAAGGACTTGAGCAAATACCGTTCAATACAACTTTCATCTCTCTATCAGTCATATATGATGCAAACCACCCTAGCAGAGGTCCTGTAACTCCATATAATTGTAGTTTTTCCAACAATATACTATGATTTACTGTATCAAAAGCTTTGCTGAAGTCTGTATATACCGCATCCACCTGTACGCGAGAATCAACGGCCCCAACAAGTGATTCAACATATGATACTAAGTTAGAAGCCGTAGATCTCCCCTTCATAAATCCATGTTGGTTGTTCGACAAATACTGTTTCAGATGCCAAGACAAAATAGGACAAATCAGAGCCTCAAAAACCTTTGCAAGAACAGACAAAATAGCTATTGGCCTATAGTTAGATACAATTGATTTATCATTACATTTAAATACGGGGACAATATTAGAATCCTTCCAAACCGATGGGAAAACTCCTGCCTGTAAAGATTTGTTATATATTAACATTAAAGGGAGTGATATCTCATTAGCCGTTTTGCAAACAAAAATGGGTGGAATTAGATCAGGGCCTGCTCCTTTATTTATATTAAGTTTATGCAACACTTCCTTAATTTGTGTTTCTGTTAAAGTTACAGTATTTAATGGAGTTATATTTTGTCGATCGACAGACCCTGGATGTGTTGAGGGGACGATGTTAAAAGAATTATCATAGACACTGGAGAAATGGGAAGCAAAGTAATCGCTGATGGTTTCAATATTTTCAGACACTTCAACTCCATTCGACATAGCACGAGGATAATTGCTAGAGCCACCTCTTTTCTGTTTGATATAGCTCCAAAAAAGTTTAGGATTAGTAACAATCTTATTTTCAAGGGACGCTGTATATGAATTAAAACAAGCAACTGACATTCTGCTACACCGTTTTTTAAGTAGATTTAATGAGATCACATCCATCGGGTTATTATATTTTTTAACTCTCAACCTCAATCGATTCTTTTCATTCAATCTTTTTATTAGTTGTTTCGAGAACCAATATGGATACTTATTATTTTTTACGATCTTTCGTGGTACATGTTTGTGTATTAGTTCACGTATTATATAGTAGAATTTCTCAACCATGGCATCGACTGAGACGCATGAAGAGAATTCCCAATGCCACTCAATTTCTTGAAGCGCTGTGCAAATTGAATTATAATCAGCTTTAAAATAATTTAATTTTGTATGAGTGGTAATTGGTATATTAACGACTTTCTTAGAAAAGGTAAGCGAAACTTGTACAGGTGGATGGTGAAGATCAATTTTGGATAGCACGTGGCTGGGCTTGCTTATGTTAATATTATCCATATTCGATAACACCAGATCGAGGATTCTCTTATTATGATTTAACAAGTCATTATGTTGCCTAAGGTCGTTTAACGTTATGAAATCCCACAATGATTGTTCAACTTTAGAATTAGCACATAGGCGTGAATTAACTATACTGTCATTATTGTAAATCCAGTTGATAGTATTTATATTAAAATCGCCTAGAATTAGACATTCCGCCACCTCTTCCAATACTCTGTTAGCGTTACTAATGAAATGATCCAATATATTAACCTTAATTGGAGAAGGCAAATAAACTCCACATATTGAAATCTCCTGAATTCCGTTGCATGACGGCAAAAGCAATTTGACCCAGAGATCATCACAAGAGCTTTCATAATCTAGGACTCTATACGATTTGTATTTTCTAGAAATACCTATCAAAACACCGCCGCCACTGTCTTTGCTATTGAAAATACTTTTACTTCTGTCACGCCTATACAGAACATATCGGTCATCTGTGATCTCTGAGTCATATATGCCATTCAAAAGCCATGTTTCCGTAAATACAATCACATCGTAATCGCAACAAGCTATCTGACAATAAACATCTTTCAATTTTGTTCTAATACCTCTGACATTTTGGTAGTATATCTTTAACCGTGTGAATTTAAGAGAATAATAAACCATTGCATACAAAAATAAAACAACTATAACTAAAGGTGCCTAACTAAGACTATCTAAAGTTTCGAGGTCTCTAATATATTTATAGTCGCTGGTTTCTGACTTTCTCATGAAAATTCTACCCCTGCGAACCCAAACAAACTTATAGTTCAATTCTTTTGCTTTCTTTCGGGCTGCAGCATGTAAATATTTATTCGTCGGAGATAAGTGCTCGACAACATAGACATTCTCCTTGGCACCTCCTATGCCAAGTAGATTACTATTTAATTTCTCATTTGGATTAGCTTTGTTATACATAATTGAAGCTGCCAGAAAAGTATCTCGAGTGCGTGGAGAGTTGAACTGAACAACGATAGACTTCGGGCGTTTGCTATTTGTGTCGCGTTTTGCAATTCTAGTAGCATGATGTATTTGGTTCTCGCTTATATCACAGGATATCACTTTACTGAGATTAATGACAGTGGACACTAAATTCTCGCCTTTGTGTTCTGGTAAAGATTGGATTTCCACATTGTTAGCTCTCGCCTGTTGTTCCATGGAATTAATTCTCGTACTTAAGTCCTGCACGGTGGATTTAAGATGGCTATTTTCCTTCCTGAGTTCTGTCAGAGTATTAAACTTTTCCGTTAAATCTGTCTTGAAGCTTTCATATTTATCATTCAAAAATGACATTGACTCCTTCACTTGCGATATATCTTCTTTTATTGATTTTAATTCGATATTAACAAAACTGGCTATAGTATCATTAAGATGTTTTAAAAGATCCTTAATTTCCGATTTCACAATTTCCCGAACTTCAACTACTGTGATAGGGGTAAGCGGTTGGACATTTACCACTGTACCTCCTCTTCGGCGATTGACATTTTCATCACGAATTTGTTTAGATTTCAAATTAGGCCGTATTGGGGTATTATCGGCATTTTCGTTCCTAGGTTGACAGTCGGGACACATCCAGTTAGTTATATCTGTTAATGAAGCAGATCCAAACGTAGATTGAATACAAGATTCGTGGTAATGCTGATAGCATTTTGAACATATAAGCGACTCTTCGTTATCAATCACCGATAGACAAGCATTGCATTTCTTCATGTTTGTAGATTTACAAGAAAAAATAAATAATAAAATATAGATGCACACTAGTAAATGCCCTTATACTGCCGTAGCACAGGCGAGCCGAGCCACTTCAATGGTTTGGTATGAAAGGAATTCAATGAAAGGAAGGCAGTAGTTTTCAATTGGAGGAGGCTACTATGGGCCCTTGCCCATTCGACCTTTGCCGGAGCAGCTAAGGGCGTGAACAACGATAGTAATGAAAAAGAAATAGTTATGTTACTCACAGATTATCTTAAAGTATTAAAAGAAAGGGATCAGCTTCAGGCAACGGGCAATGAGTTTGATCAATGCAACAAGAAATATGAGGAAGATCTCAAATTCATTGCTGCATTGCAATTGTAATTGAATGAAGGCCAAGGGCAAATTTATAATTAAACAAAAACTTAGACAACTTAACAGCCTCCAAAACTCAGAGTCTGTTACTTGTAGAATGCACAACACCCCAAGCATCTTCAAAATTGTTACAAATATCATCCACATTAAATTTGACAGGTGAAGATGCCTTCATATCGGGAACAGCAGGAAGAATTGCTTGCAGTAACAATAAATTAAAGAAATACATTAAAATTAATAAATACATTAATAAGTTGCAAAAAAACTTAAAAAATAAAAAAAAGTTTTAAAAATCATGTTAAGGTATGTAAAGAAAAACAAGAATTATTTATTAAGGTCAAAATATATTCAATTGAGGTGGATAACATTAGGAAAAGTTATTAGACTGACATGGATTACCTTAATTCAGAAATTTCTTCACTTCATAATAGCACTACAAGTTATGAAAAATAAATATAAATTAGCTCAAAATGAAATAAATGAACATATACTGGCCATGGACTAACAGGTGACACTGTGTAAATATAATGAGGAACGTTTTGAGTCATTAGTAAAATATCAGTGTGTGTGTCAGCGCTCGTTACCGGTTACTTCAGGGACAGTATGTGTTAATAATATGAACAAAAAGAACCCCTCTCTTACTTATAAACTCCATGACAATTCCAGAACAATAAATAATTTGAATAACTTGAATGTTAGCAAAAAAAATATTGTTGTGTACAGTAGTAGTATAGTTTAGTAATAAATAACTGTGTAAAGGAATACCAAATTATTAATTATTGTATGCCTGGAGCAACATTTAGCTAAATTATAAATAAAATTGTAATAAGTAGCTATAGCCATATATAGGGAGAAGAGGCAATGTGAATAAAAAACAATTATTGGATTATACTGAAATAAAAAAAAATTTAATGTTCACAAGATTGTTTCGTTTAAATTGCCTTACTTGTGGGGTCTGCCACAAGAAAATAAATTAAGACATGACTTAAGTATCCAAATGAATAATTTAATATGTAATAATAATGTAAAACTGACATATAATTGTAATGATTATAAATTTCATTTAATTGACTAAAATAATTTAATAAAGAAGTTTTTGACAAGAGATAGGTATTACCTATCATAGTATAGTTTAAGACTGGTAGCAAATACGCTATCTTGTTATTCATATTTTAACTCAGCCAATGATTTGGCTACCTTGACACTTGCTTTTTTGAGCTACAAAATAATTTTACATTTGATTTGGAACCAGTTCCAAGTAATTTAAATTATATATTTATTTATTTATTTATTTATATATTTTATAGAAAATAAGACAATAGAGGTAATCTCTAGCAAAGATAGTTTAAATAGCTTAGAATACAACTTACCAATACATAATATTGTGTAAGTTTTGTATAGTATTGTGTAACCTGGAGCATCAAAATATATAAGGGATGTTAGGCAAAGAATTAGAAATTGAATTATTTTTAAATAGTAACAATATACATATTAAATGTATTACTAATCATTGGTTGAAAGTTACATACATACATATTGCATATTTAATTTCAGTTCAGTAATCACCAGGAGGTCAGTTCGTTCAATACAAGCACTAATTTACTTGGTGGCTCCTTAATATTAGCTAATAAATCGTTATCATCTAAAAAACGTAAAGACATTGTGAACCTACTGTAGAGCGTACTGTAGAAATGGCATGTGTTGAGCTTGAGCACCTTATTGTTGTCAGTGTTTACAGACGCCCATGTTTAAGTTATGATATTTGAAAAAAAAATATGGAAGAAGTTTTAGTTAAGCTTAATAAAAGGAATTAATCTCTTGTAGTATGTGGAGATTTCAATATCAATCTCCTGGTAACTGCTTCTTTCGCTCTTTGTTCAAATCCTATAATTTGGATAATTTATTCTTTGAAGCTTCACGTATTGCAGAGTGTAGTGCAACTTTTATTGATAATATTTTTACAAGTGTTGTACCCATCAACAAATCAATAATTAAAAAACTTAGTTCAGATCACTGTGGACAACTGGTTTCATTACCTTTATGCACAAAAAACAGGTAATTGAGAAAAATGTATTAGTTCCTATTAATGCAAAACGCCTGAAAATATTTAGAAGTAATGTGGTAAAAAACCTTCCATCGCTTTCTTGAACAATTCACACTATTTGTATGGATAATTATTTACCCTTATAAGCAATGAATTTAAAAAAAAAATTTCTTCTTAAACATTCTCCAGAAATAGTCGCAAGACATTTAATGAGTGGGCGACAGTAGGAATTCATATAAGCAGACGAAGGTTATATGACCTTTACCATGAAAGGACATAAAATCCTTCCGATGCTTTTGAAGAATATGTCAAAAATTATTGCAACAAAATTAAGACGGCTAAGAATGAAATTAAACTGACGTGGAGTATAATTAACAGCGAAACCGGTAAAGACAAAACTCGTAACTCAAACTTTAAATTAAAAATTAACAACCAATTGACTAAATCAAATCAGGATGTCGCAGCGGTGTTTGAGAAATATTTCACTGATGTTCCTATATTGACAACATAGTCATTGAATACTTCTCCAACTGTCACCGAGTCATAACTCAAACAGAATGTTAATACCTGTTTAAAATAATTTAGATTTGAAAAAGTTATATCTTATATTGTGAAATACTTCAAAACCATTGATGAAAAGAAAACCGCAGATTTGTGGGGGATTTCCGTTACAGTGATTGCGTCCATAATAGATTTAATTGCACCTCATCTTGCTATTATTTTTAATACTTGTATCGATTCTGGTGTGTTTCCTGATTTAATGAAGTATAGTAAAGTAATACCTTTATTTAAATCTGGTAGTACATTGGACCCCGCTAATTATAGACCTATTTCTGTACTACCAACTCTCAGTAAAATTTTTGAAAAAATAATTTTGGATCAATTGTTAATTTTTTTTAATACAAATAAATTACTTCATAAAAATCAATTTGGTTTTACAAGGGGTCGCTCGACGTCTGACGCCGGTGTTGAGCTTATGAAATATATTTTTAATGCCTGGGAGAATTCACAAGATGCCTTAAGTACTTTCTGTGACCTTTCCAAGGCTTTCGATTGTGTTCATCATGATACATTAATCAGGAAACTACAACATTACGGTGTAACAAATTTGGCGCTTAAACTTATTACTTCATATTTAAGTAACAGAATTTAAAAAAGTCTTCATTAATGGTAAATGTTCCTCCGGATCAGTAGTATCAATGGGCGTTCCTCAGGGCTCGATTCTTGGCCCATTCCTGTTCTTTATCTATATTAATGACTTACCTTATCTTGTAGTGGACAATCACGATATAGTATAATTTGCTGACGATACCTCTTTAATTTTCAAACTGAAACGGCAGTCAATTAAATATGACGATGTAAATAATGCTCTATCGAAACTAGTACATTGGTTTAACGCAAACAATTTGCTCTTAAACGGCAATAAGACAAAATGTATTAAATTTACAATACCTAATGTAAAACATTCGAAAACCAATGTGCTCTTAAATGGGGAGGAGTTGAGTCTTGTGGATACCACTGTTTTTCTCGGTATTACTATTGACGCGAAACTTCAATGGGGCCCCCATATATCTAAATTAGCAAGCAGACTTAGTTCTGCAGCATATGCTGTAAGAAAGATTAGAAGTCTCACAGATGTTGAGACAGCTAGGTTAGTGTATTTTAGTTACTTTCATAGCGTAATGTCTTATGGAATTTTGCTATGGGGTAATGCGACTGATATTGAAGCTATATTTGTTTTGCAAAAGAGAGCCGTACGGGCGATTTATAATCTAAATTGTAAAGAGTCCCTTAGAGAAAAATTTAAAGAAATAAACATATTAACTTTGGCATCGCAATATATTTATGAAAATGTAATGTATGTACATAAAAACATAAATAGCTTTAATAAGAATAAGGATGTTCATACCTTAAACACTAGGAACAAACATAAGCTTGTAATGCCACTTACAAGACTCCACAGAATTAGTAATTCATTTATGGGGCAATGTATACGCTTTTACAACAGAATCCCAGAACATGTTCAAAGTTTGTCAATAAACAAGTTTAAAAGTTTTATTAAAGAAAAACTGTACAAAAAGGGTTATTATAATATCAAGGAATACATGAATGAAAATAACCCCTGGGAATAAGGTGATCGCCACCATGCTGGTTCTATGAAAATTCATTTAAAATTGTATAAACAAAATTATTGTTAAGTGAAATTATGTTTAAAAAAAAGTCCCGCTGGGTTTCTTGCTGGTTCTTCCCAGGACAGAGGTATTTTCCGAACCAGTGGTAAATAAATTAATGACTTTCAATAAGTATTATGTAATAATCCATATTGAATAAAAATTATTCTATTCTATTCTAGAAGGAGCAACTGAAGGTAAAGAAGAATTTGAAATAGGATAGAGTCTCTGATGATTATCTGAAGGAAGTAATATAGCAGTATCTACATAAGTTCTCCGAACTTGAGGGAAATGAGAGAGATAATATATATTTTCCTGCGATATAGTAAGTTTGATAGATTTCTGCCTAGAATGTTCAGGGCAGGAACAATCTTTAGCTGTGTGAGATCCTGAAAAAAAAAGACAAGTGGGTCTTCTGCATGATATTC